TACACTGTACATTTCATATCCATGACTCATTTATTTTGCAACTGGAAATTTGTACCTCTTAATCTCCCTCACTTATTTCTCTCCTCCTCTGCTCCCCTCCGCTCTGGCAACCACCTGTTTGTTCTATGTATCTATAACTGTTTATTTTGTTTTATTTGTTCATGTGTTTTGTTTTTCAGATTCCCCATATAAGTGAAATCACATAGGATTTGTCTTTCCCTGTCTGACTTATTTCATTTAAAATAATACCCTATAGGTCCATCCATGTGGTCAATAATGGCAAGATTTCATTCCTTTTTACGGCTGAGTAATATTGCATTGTATGTATATACACATCTTTATTCAGTCATCTGTTGATGGGTACTTGGGTTGCTGCCATATCTTGGCTACTGTAAATAATGCTGCAGTGAACATAGGGGTGCATGTATCTTTTCTAATTAGTGCTTTTATTTTTTGGATAAATACCCAGGAGTGGTATATACTTAGTGCCATTTTGTTGATTTGGGGGTTGTTTTTGTAGTTCTTTTTTGTTCCTTTCTTCTTTTGCTCCCTTCCCTTGTGATTTGATGACTATTCTTAGTGTTGTTTGGATTCCCTTTGTGTGTGTGTGTGTGTCTATTATAGACATTTGGTTTGTGGTTACTATGAGATTCATATATAGCAATCTTCATATATATGTGATTATTTAAAGTGCTGATCTCTTAACTTTTAATGCATTTTAACAAACCTGCATTTTTACTCCACTACTACACCCCACTTTTAACATTTTTGAGATCGTATTTTACATCTTTTTGTTTTGTGTATCTCTTAACTAATTATTGTGGAAATAGATGTTACTACTTTTGTCTTTTAACCTTACTCTAGCTTTATACTTGGTTAATTTACTATCTTTACTGTATATTTGCCTTTACAAATGAGATTTTTCCTCTCTTACTTTTCATATTTCTAGTTGTGATCTTGTCTTTACTGCCGAGAGAAGTCCCTTTAACATTTCTTGCAGAGCTAAACTCACGGCACTAAACTCTTTTTAGCTTTTGCCTTTCTGTCAAACTTTGTGTGATTTTGTGTGTAACCTTTTAAGAGTGGAGTCTCTATTTCCCACAGCCCTCTGGCTCTTCTGAAAGTAAGCCCTGCTGGCCTTCAAAGCCAAATGTTTTGGCGCTTGTCTTCCTGGTGCAGGAAAAGGGCAGGACCCTTAGGCTGGAGAGCCTGATGCCCTGGGGCTCCAACCCCTCACTCCCTGGGGAGAACCTCCACAGCTGTAATTATCCTGCCATTTGTGAGCCACCCACCTGAGGGTCTTGACTACACCATGTCTCCACCCCTCCTACCTATCTTGTTGTTCCTTCTTTATATCTTTAGTTGTAGAAGAACTTTTCTGCTAGACTTGAGACCTTTCTCAATAATTGCTGTGTAAATAGTTGTAATTTACTGTGCCCATGGGAGGAGGGGAGCTCAGAGTTTTCCTACTCTGCCATCTTTGCCCTTCCCCGTTTTAGCTTTTTCATGTTACGCTGTCATGTGCTGATAGGCCTTACTGCCCATTAGAATTACTTGGGAGCTTTAACAAAAATGCCTGTGCCCTACCCCAAGCAATACAGTTGGCATTGGTGGCATTGGTATGAACTTAAGTCTCTCCAGGTGATTCTAAAGTACACCCAAGATTCATAAGCACCATGCATGACCCCAAGGTATCAGGCCCTAAAGAATTCTTTTTCACATTTTTTATTTTATTTTATTTCTTCAATTTTCTTTGGGGGGAGGTAATTAGGCTTACTTTATTTAATTATTTTTTTTAATAGAGGTACTGGGGATTGAACCCAGGACCTCATGCATGCTAAGCATGCACCCTGTGTCTTGAGCTATATCCTCCCTCCTTCTCATTTTTTATTTTAAATAATTAAAGAAAGCATTCTACAGGCTAAGAAGTAACATTTGACTTTGAGCGCAAAGATGTGATGCCAATTCTATTCTGGATTGATACTTCCTGTGATTGATCAAAACAAGACATGAATTTTTCCCAGTCAGTTATTGCCTAGTCTTGGCAAATTTTTCAGTTTATAAAAACAAAATAATGAATTTTCTTTTTAAGTTTTTCATGATCCTCAGCTGGGTACAATTACAAGTATTTCAGAAGAACGGAATTTATGATGGATTTAAAACACAGAAGGTTTGTGTGCTTTCCCCCCTTTTCTGATCGCAGCATCTCTAGGAGGTAGGCAGGGCAAGAGTGTTTATCCCCATTTTCAGAGGAGACACTGAGGCCCACTGAGGGCAAGTGGGTCACCTAAGATTGTGTGGCTAGTTATAATGTAGCCTAGACTCAAACACCTCTCTACACCTGTCCAAGGCCCTTTCCAACCTAATTTTTTAGGACAAATCACCACCAGCATCTGCAATAAGAGAAGCTGTCATCCAGAGGCTATTTCCCTTGACTGGCCCTGGGGAAGGATTTTAGTTTATACTAGACAGTTCTGTAAATGTACCTGGCACTAAGCAATCACCTTAAATGCAAAATAGTTTATGTTCAAAGGTGAATTAAAATGTGATTCAGTCAACAAAACACATGCCCAAGAATTTTCAGTTTCCAGATAACCAATAATGCGGTATTCTCCAGTGAAAAGTCTGCTGTTACTATCAAGTAGACAGGGTGGTGTGATGGCAGAGCATGGACTTTGGGGTCTGACAGTCGTGCATGTGACTCTGGTGCTGCCCCTCACTAAGCCGTGTGAACTTGGACATGCCACTTCTCTTATTATTGAACATCGATTGGCAGTAGACAGACACCATGGTCCCTCCCCTCAAGAATTCTCAATACTTGGGGATCATACCTTTAAATACCAGAAGACCATTGCTGCCCTCGAGCTGCTGGGGGAGCACTACAGGAGCCTGAAGACAATGGTTCAGGAAAAATATATATACAGATACATGGAGAAAGATAAAGCAAATGTGGCAAAAGTTTAACAATTGGTGAATCTAGGTGTATGGGTATTCACTGTATATTTTGCCACTTTTCTGTAGGTTGGAAAATTTCCCAAGTAAAAAGTTGAGGGTATAAAGGTTAAAAAACAAAAATTAAATGTTAAAATATTTAGTAATAGACTAATGAGAACTATGAAAGTTTCATATGAAGAAAACTCCTAATTATTACTGAAGGTTATAAAACATGACTTGAATAAATGGGAGAGACTTGCCTTGAGTCGGAAGACTCCAGATTTGGGGAGGAGGCAGGAATAAGAAGCGTATGGACTGAATTGTGTCCCTGTGCCCTCAAATTCATATACTGAAACCCTGACCCCCTATGTGGCTGTATTTGGAGACGGGGCCTTTAAAGAAGTAGTTAAGATTAACTGAGGTCATAAGGGTGGGGCCCTAATCGGTTAGGACTGGTATCCTTATGAGAAGAGGGAGACCAGACCTCACTCTCTTCCCAGGTACAGAGGAAAGATGTGAGGACTCATGGAGAAGACAGCTGTCTGCAAGCAAGGAAGAGAGGCCTCCCCAGAAACTAACCCTGCTCGTACCTGGATCTTGGACTTACAGCCTCCAGACTGTGAGGGAATACATTTCTGTTGTTTAAGCACCAAGCCTGTGCTACTTTGTTATGGCAGCCGGAGCCAACTAAGACAACAAGTGAAGTGCTTCACCCAGGGTCATGGTCACCCGATGAGGAAATAGTGGAGCCTAGATTTGTACCGAGAGCTGTCTGGGCCATCTCCCCATGAAGTGAAGTGTGAGTCAGGTCAGTGCTTCTCAAATGTTGGTGGGGATCAAAATTGCCTGGGGCAGAAGATCAGGGATTCCCTCACCCTGATTCTGAGGGCTCTACGTGAAGCCTGAAATTCTGCATTTTAGTAAGTGGTATCCTACCAGGTGAGTCTGTTGAAAGCGATCCCAGACTACACTTTAAGAAATGCTGCTCTAATCTGAGTCTGGAGGTTCAGAGATGCAGGAGGGACCCTCAGGGGATATGCATATAATATTTCTACAAAGATAAGCAAAAACCATTGTTAGCCTCTGAGGATTCAGGGGCTGGTATGAGAGTAAGACATATTTTTAAATTTTTGTTTTGCTTTGTATTTTTTAACCTTAAGCATGTACTATTTTTCAATTAAAAAACTAACTTGAAAAAAGAGGTCATGAATTTAAAGAGCTTATTATTAGTCCATTAACCCCAAAATAGTAGGTGCCGATAAATAAAAATTCCTTTCTTTTTTGTCTTCCACTCAAAATTTGCCATCCCTTTCCTTCCCTCCCTTCCCCCCGCAGTGGTATCTCCGTCTGTACATTTGGTCAATATGTATTAATTTCATGCACATTGTATGCCAGGCACGGTTCTAAGGATACGGCTATTCACATAAAACAGACACTGTCTCGCCTGCCTGCACGGAGTGTCTAG